GCCATCGAGTGGCTCGTGGCGCCGGCACGAATTTTTTAATCTCGCCACACCGTGGAGTTTTTATTAAAAATAAGAAGGGCCACTCGATACGATCGCGCGAGGCTCGAGTTTAGTGTTGTTCCGCCATGCGAGCCAGCTGCCACAGGAGAAACAGTGCCGTATAAAGGAGAGGGGGGCTTTGAGGCGCCATCCATGTGTTTGAAGAATTTTTCTCTTGGGAAAATTTTTCGAATTTCTTTTTCATCGAGCGAACTTTTTCCACGAAAAATCTCGTGCTGATGTACACAGCTCAGAGGCTCGAAGCTGAATACAGTGGAAATATGATGTGGAATGATTTAAGAACAAAATTCCAATTTATATTTCTAAGTACCCCTTCTCGTGTTGGAATGTCGTAGATTTTGTATCTCGATCTGTAAAATTTGTGCAGTGTATTTAAAATTTATCTTGGAAATCGAAATTTTAGAGGAATTTCACTCGAATTTATTTTGAGATTCAAATATTTAGAAACTTTTTTTACGTAATATTTCTACGTTGCTCAAATTTCCAAAAAAAAAAAGATTCTAAAAGTGGCGCGCCACGGAAAAAGGAAGCTAAGCAAAACTCAACGGAGAGAAGGAAAATCCACATCCCTGATCCCTCCATCTGTAGTTGAATTTCACCGAACAGCCACGGGTATATAAGATCCAGGGAGCCAGTGTGACTTATTACAGTCGTCGATGGGGCTCAGGAGTGGATTTTTAGGGTGCATCGAGGCCTCATATCGCGTACAGATGCTTCGACCCGTTTTTACAACCAATAACGGACTCACCCTTCGTAGATATATATATACATCGTATCCTCGTCTATCCACACGACGACGACGTATCCTTGATTTCGTCTCGAGGCCGGTATCGGAGGAAAAATATCGTCTCCAGGCTCCTCCCCTCCACGGGACAGAACGTTGGATAGGAAACGCAGTGACGGAGACGCGGGCGGTGTTGTATAATTTGTTGCAGAGTCAATATTGTACCGGGCAAATACGACGGGCGAAGAATTGATGGAGAAGTGGCTGTGTTGATGGGAATCAAATTATTGAAATTAGTCGAGGCGTTTGTGACGTTTTAATATATTCGACGAATTCTCAAACCCGTTTTCGAGGAAGTTTTGAATAAGATTGTTGGATTAATTCACCTCGTTAGGTGAATATAAATCAAAATTTTATCTTTCCAAATTTCCATCGATGATTTCGAATAACGATTTTGAATATCCACGAAGGGATTGAAAAAAATGTTGGATAGAATTATTTTTAAACTAAATGAGGAATATTCTGTATATATATTCTATGACAGAAGAAAAGGCAAAGATAGTTTCGAAAGTATATTCACGATGAATGAAAAAAAATGCGAGGGAAAACTCGTCCAGGGGATTAAGTCGTCCCCCAAAGTGGTTCGCGTGTTCTTCCTCGCCGGTACGCAACTGGTTACCGTCGCCTTGCCTCGTACAACACTTGAAGAGCACTTTTCCACTCCCGTGCAAGTACTATTTCGAAGTGAAAATGAAATTTCTGCCGGCTCTCCCTTTTACACCGTGACGTATCCACCAGAGACTTAATGATACACTCGTTACAACGAGAGCGAGGAGGGTGTATCTTGCTTATCCCACGAGTACAAGGGAGTTAATTAAGAATCTCTCGTTGAACGACACCGATGATTTCGAGGGACGTTTATCTCGGAACGTTCTTGTTTCAGAGCAAATAACTTGAACGAGTGCTACTTCGAGGTGAAAAACTTGTTGTTTGTCGTTTTCACCAGAGAGAATTTTTAATTTGCGAACTTGTTCAATTACGATTCAAATGGCATCTTGGAATTTTCTTCATTTTTTTTCTTCCTTCAAAAAATAGAAAATTTTTACAGAAACTATAATATTTTTCCTCTCGTGAAATTGATTTCTAATAAGTTTAACGATTCAATTTATTTTTTCTAAGAAATACTATTTAATATTAGCGTGTAAATTAAATCATGTCAAAGATATAAAAATACGTATTCTCGATATCTCGTTTATATCCCGTTCGATATTTACTAAAAATATATTTTAAGCTTTGATAAATACGTACACCCCCTTTGAATATATTTCGATGAAATTATTTCTAATTAAAATACACGTATACAAAACGAAACAAAATTTCACAATTACAATTGCGAAAATACACGAAATAACGATTTCGAGAGATTCGAAATCAGTCACCTCGTTTGCTTCGCATTCATTCATTCATTCATTCATTCATTCATTCATCAAGAGAGAGGTCGAGGGTCGAGGAAGACACCGCGTTAAAATAGAAAACGAATCTACATTCCCCCTCGTTTGTTACGTCTACGTCCCCCGAGAGAAAACAAGGTATCCCACCCATTGTACCCGAATCCGCTGTCGTTTCGAATCTCTGCTCCTGGCTTCGCCCTGCGAAGGGTCGTGCAAGGCCAACAGAGCTGCTGCCCTTTGACCCAGACTCGTGCGTTCGACAATGCACTGGGGAAGGCAATCTGACACAAAGGGGTCGGGATTCCTTTCATTGGATTCTCCCCTGGCCACTTGACGTGGAGTGTACAGTTGACCTTGACGAATCTTGTTGGAACAATCGTACCTACGTGTCGAGTATCGCGGATGAACAAAACGTTCCTGCG